TGAACGGATGTCAGCCATCAGATAACTGACCTGGAACTGATGGACCACGGATGGCAGATGCTGGCGTACGGCGGGAATCATATGGCGACGTGTTTTGGCGTACCTAAAAGTATCCAACGTATGTCAGCGTTTTTTCCAGATTATCAGTAGGTCAGACATACGCTGGTCTAAATGGTCATGGTGTGACAGCGTTCAGACAGTATGAATGATTCTGTTTCAAACCTGCAGATAAAGTTTAATTTCCAGGAGTGAAGCAGGAATCTTACTTTTTTCTCTCAACCTGAACTAAAAGTCTGGGATTCTGATTGAATTTCATTCCTCACATCTTTCTACACGTTTCTGCTGCTGAGATCCATCCATGGACTTTATTCCAACATCTCCAGAGTTCTGAGCTCCATGCCGCCCTGCACTCTCTGAAATGCTAATAAACTGGTTCCTCATATTAATGGAGTGCCAGCAGCGTCTGTTAGCATGTGCTAAACATGGCGGCTGGAAGCTGGAGACCAGCTGCAGCCTCTGGAAATGAATGAAGATCCAAACATCAGCAGAGATTCTTAATTGAATCCAATTAGTGAGCCTGTGAGGGGGGGGGGCTGAAGGTATGCCACACACGAGGGGTGAGACAGGAGTGATGCATGGAGTGATAAGAGACGGCGCCGTGGCAGGACAACACAGAAGAGTCCCTTCACACGGTAAAGGCGATAAGCATCACCTCCATCCCTCAGCCTGCCTCCGTCACTGACAGAAAACACTGATATGATTCTGAGGACGAACTGAGGCCCATGGAGGAGCAACAATGGAGGAGGAGGAACAGATGGGAGGTGAAGGTGTGATTCTCTCACCTCCAGCCGGCCTCCGCTCACAGAAAACAGCAGCAAACCCTGCAGAGCTGCGAGGAGCAGCAGCGCCGGGCGCTATCTGATGGCAAACTATTTGGGACACGCCCATTTGTGACACGCGCTCTCAGTGTTTTTGACACCTGAGCGAAGAAAGCAGCAGCAGCTTGGTGTGGTTATCAGATCAGATCAGAGGAGATAAATCCACAGACGCTCCGCTATCGCTGCGACACGCCAGCAACAGGTCACGGTGTCACGCAATAGGTGACCACGCCTCCGCCTGCAGCGCCTCCGCCTGCAGCGCCTCCGCCTGCAGCGCCTCCCCCTGCAGCGCCTCCCCCTGCAGCGCCGCCGCCTGCAGCGCCTCCGCCTGCAGCGCCTCCGCCTGCAGCGCCTCCCCCTGCAGCGCCTCCCCC